TTTATCAACAAAAATACAGTGCAACAGAAAAACTCCGAGTCTTGAGGCTGCTCCGAGACCGGGGTTGTGTCGCAGCACGGTTTGGAGAGCTCGCTGTGGTGAACGTGTACATATTTCGCTCTGAACCAAACTCTCGCCGAGTTCCACAACTACTTGAGGCTCGCTTTTGGTCGCGGGTCCTTGACAAGTACGCGTAGATGCGACTGGTGGAATAACTATCTAGTCGAACAACGTAAATGTTTTCGTAAAGCGCGCAAACAGTTAAATAGACTAAAGAAACGTAAGGTAACCGGTACCGTTTTTGATGAAGCACTGATTGCGTTTAGAGTTGCCAGGTCACGCTATAGGGCTTCGGTGGAGAAAGCCAAGGGTGATTTGCTACGGAGGGTTGTACAAAAATTAGATAAGGAGGGTCCGTGGTCACCTCTATACCATGAGTTCAAAGCTAATAGATCCGTCGATCTGGCATTCGTACAGAACATAAAAGTCAACAATGTTCACACCACTGGTATTGAGGAGACAACGGAAGTTCTACTCGATGAGCTTGTCCCTGACGATGTATTCGAGACGGACAGTGATTACCATCAACAGATTAGGTTGTGGGCAGCTATACCGCCTGAATCACCAGTGTCTGATCTACCGTCCATTAACGAGCTCGTAACTATTGTTAAAACTTTGCCTTTAAATAAATCATCTGGTGAAGACAAAGTCTCAAATAAAATGATAATAGAAGCATGTAAATCCGCGGCTGATGCGATCCTAACTGTATTCAACCGTTGTATCGCGGAAGGTGTCTTTCCTCGTGTATGGCGACGTGGATTTATTCGCATAATCCCCAAGAATGGAAATAAACCCGATGACCTAAGTTATACCGGCCTATCAGGCTTTTACCATCTTTAGGGAAACTACTTGAGCGACTTATCGTTCCTCGTTTACTGCCAGGTGGACCAAAATTCCACAACAATCAATTTGGTTTCACTGTAGGAAAGTCTACTGTCGACGCGGCTCTTTCTGTCCGATCAATGGTAAATTCGTCTGAGCACAGGTATATAGTAGGCATTTTTCTGGACATTTCCGGTGCCTTTGATAACGCATGGTGGCCAATGTTACTCTTAAAACTGAAAGGTCGAGGCTGTTTTAGTAACATATATAAATTAATATACACGTATTTCCTTCACGGTTCCGTTAAACTGAAGCTTGGTCATTGTTCTCGGTCGAAGTCTTTATCAATGGGATGTCCTCAGGGCTCGGTTATTGGCCCGTATTTATGGAATTTAGGATTTGATGATTTGCTCGCGATTCCCCTTCCTTGTAGCTGTACTTTGACTGGATATGCGGATGATGGCCTTTTGCTAGTACAGTCAAATACCCGCGCCGGACTGGAGGATTTGGCTAAGGACTGTCTCAGTAGGATCTCGCGATGGGGCGAACGAAATCGCTTGACTTTTGCACCCCATAAAACTTACCAGCTATTGCTTAAAGGAAATCTAAAGTCGTGGCCGTCTATTAAATTTAACAACGTTTCCGTAAAACGAAAGGAGTCGGTTTGCTATCTCGGTTTAGTTTTGGAAAAAAACTTTTCTTTCATTGAGCACATTAAGGCTATTAGTGAGAAAGCCAAAAATAACTTCTATGCGCTGACGCGAATTTCAAAAGCCACCTGGGGTCTCTCTTTTCTTACGCTCAGGATCATATACGGAGCAACCTACCTGGGATGCGTGTGCTACGGGGCACCTGTCTGGGCTGATAGGGCCACAATAGGCGCGGTACGGCGAAAACTTCTTCAAGGCCAGCGTCTAGCCTTGATTTTCCTGTGTAAGGCTTATAGGACGGTTAGCACTGAAGCCCTACCTGTGCTCGCGGGCGTACTTCCGGTAGATCTTGAGGTGCAGCGACGTGCTGCTATGTACTACAGTGCGAGACCTAATTTGTCAGCAAGCTTTCTAGCACAACGTGATAGAAATAAAATTGCTAGATTGTTTAAGCCAATAACGGACGTGTGGGATGAGCTTATGACTGAATGGCAGGGTAGATGGGCATCTTCTATTAAGGGCCGCCACCTATATCAGTTCTTCCCATCCGTGCATGAGCGGCTGGAGAGGACATGGTTGGAGGTGGATCACTGTGTTGCCCAGTTTCTTACTGGCCACGGCAACTTTAAAAGCAAATTGTTCTCATTTAAACTTATTGATTCACCATGGTGCCAATGTTCGACAGTGGAGTTGCAATACGAGCAGTCGGCCCATCACATACTCTGGGAGTGTGATCTCTGGCAATATGAACGTAACACTATGTTGAATAATTTAATTGTTTCGTCAGGTGTAGCTTATTATACGGACCTTGTGGAATCTAGAACAAATTTCCGTGCGTTTAGGCGCTTTTGCCATACCTATTATTGGAACCAAGTATAACAGCTCACACATAGGACCCACTTAGTTTTTTAGTCAAATTTCCGTGGTGCTTGGCGACTGGGCTTCACCCAGTTGTACAGTCTTTTCTTTGTGCCTTTAGGCTTAATTCATTCTGTCTCCTGCAGTAATTCACCGAGGGAAGTGGAAACTACAGTTTTTTCTTCTTCTCCTCTTATAATATCTTCTGATTCACTTCGTTGCGGGAACCAAGACAGTTACTCATGTCCCTGGGACGCGCCGGACTTCAATGTTCCGGTGTTTTCATGGTTGTATCTACTGTAGATCCTGGCTTACAGGAGTTGCAGCGGTTTTGGGAGGTTGTGGCGGGCTTGTCCCAAAAAAAAAAAAAAAAAAAAACTACTTGAGGGAGTTGGTCACCGTGTCGTCGCCGGGTTCCGTTCACTCCCCGTGCTTGGCCTCAGGGACTTCAATGCCAAAAACCTAGCTTGGGGTTCCCGGTTCACCGACGTCTGGGGTAGGATGGTGGAAGACTGGGCCCTTGAGACAGGCCTAGTCGTCCTGAATGGGGTTTTGTCCCCACGTGCGTGCGGATGCAGGGCGAGTCGGTGGTGGACATTTCGTTCGCCAGCCCTGCTCGATCACCGCGTGTCGTTGACTGGCGCGTCATGGAGGAGGTGCAGACGTACTCGGACCACCGGTATATCCGGTTCAACGTCTCGAACGAGTCCACGGACCCGCCGGTCAGGCAGGCCCTATGTAGCCCGCGTTGGGCGCTGAGACAGCTGGATCGGGAGCTGCTCCTGAAAGCCGCTATCGTGTAGGTCTGGGTGATACCACCGGTCAGGCCTGCCGACATTGACGAGGAGGCTAAGTGGCTCCAGGACGCCATGTCCAGAATTTGTGACGTGGCGATGCCCCGGATCCGATCCGGTAAACAAAAGCGCCAGGTGTACTGGTGGTCGCAAGCGCTAGCAGCTTTACGAAAGGCGTGCACTGCAGCGCGACGCCAGTATACTAGGCACCCCAGCGCCGTGTCCGTCCTCCGGACGCGGAGGGGAGAGAGGCGAAGTTGTACAAGGGTTACAAGGCGGAAATAAAGCGAGCAAAAGAAAAGGCCCGCCGAGAGATGCTGGAAACTCTGAACAGAGACTCGATGGGAGCCCGTATCGAATGGTACGCGACAAGCTCCACGCCTGAGCTCCCCCGCTCACTCAGATTACGGCTTCAGCTCCCTGCCCTGGAGCTGCATCTTGGAGGCACTCCGATATCATCGGGTAGGTGCCCACCCATCTCCGTCATGTAATCGAGGCCTACCTTTACGGACTTACTTTGAAGTAGGTTTTTTAATTGTCTTACAAACGCAGCCCAGTTCATGTATCCGCAGCAGTCAGCGTGATTAATTATTTAGCTTCAACACCATGTGCACCTCGTGCAGCAACACGTTATTACACGTTGTACAGAACATGTGTCACATGATAGTTTGATGGCATTGCGGTCGGCGTTACATTGTGAATTGGTAATTAGACCGAAGATAGCGCCTCGCCACGATAAGCACATTCATGATAATACAAAGATAATACTTACTAAGAATTTACAGTAATCTGAGTGCGACCAAATATCGAATTGTTTCAGTTTAGCATGTACCTACCTATGTTATCATGTCCTGCAACAATAACATCACGTTGTTTCATCCACTCTTCGTACACAAGACATGTCCTTATGTTAACACATGTTCGAGCACAATGTTCACAACTCTGTCCACGCCACAGTTTATGCTTTCTGTTCTATGCTTGCTCAAACAGACATGCGACATTGTTTTCAAGAGTTCCAAATAGTTTTAAACATGACATAATTGTAGAAAAAGACCCAACAAAGAACGTGGCCACCGCACAGCTGGAGAACCTTCCTGCCCAGCGGCCATCGAATCTCCGAGCTGTGCGCCCTTCCCATTGCCACTTCAGCTTGCTAACTCCCTTGGCTGTCAGCGACTTTAGTTCATGCGTGGGTCAATAAAAATTCAAATGTATGTTAAAATTGTAAACTAGTTGGCAGTAAATACCTCAGTATGTGCTTTTGGCTGGATAAGAGATTTCACCACAACATTGGCAAGAACTCAAACAAAGGCCTGCAGGTCGGGAGCACGCAGGTGGCAGTGGGCGCTGCACATCTTGCGGCGCTCTTTCACTTTGATATTTGTTTTTACAAAGCAAAAATTGTAAATGACTGTTTATAACACAGTTGGCACCTGTCATTTAAGTACATTACGTTATGTATTTGCTTCAGACTTACAATTTTCTATATTTGAAATATATTTACTTATTTTCTGTTTTTGAGAGCCCTTCATTATGTTTTACGTTTCGAACCCGTGCTCAATCTCATGCTTGAAAACTCGGAACCATAAAGCTACAAACTATAGGTAACCTAGGTTCAAGACCCCAGACCCAGTCCCAGCAAGACATCTTCAAATCGTTCGTACGGCCATACGATAAAATTAAAATGATTAAATTGGTAAAAGAGACACTCGCAGGTATTTAATAGTGTAATTGAGTATTCGTATATATGCAGATATAAAGCAACATAAACATGATAATATAATCCTACGTAGAGAAGAGAGCAGTTCGCGTGAGGTCACTGGCAGTGCTCGTTGGGGTCGTTGAGTGAGTTCCGCCGCCATCCGAAGAGGAAGTAGCCGAGCGTGAGGCCGAGCACGACAGCCAGGCACAGCCACACGTTGTACGTCATGAACACCAACATCAGCAGGTAGCTCAGCGTCGACTGCACCGCGTGCAGCGCCGTCTGCAGCGCATGCGCCCCCGAGGTCGCCGCCGCCCTGCACACAGCCGCGCGTCAGTACGCTGCCGCCGTACTCGGAGACAGACAACACAACATGGCCTACCTGAAGGAGCTCATCGCAGAATCACCCTTGGCGATGTTCTGTCGCGAGTCGGAGAGCGGCGCGGCCGCGGGGCTCGGCAGTGTCTCGCGCCAGTACTTGAATCCCTCGTACAGCACGGACGCCACAAATATGGCCACCGCCGATCCAAACAACTGCAGCTCGTTAGTCGTTTTCCACCCATTGAACAGGATCTCCGCACACACGCACGAGTGGAACTGTACACGACATAATAATAAGCTATCATTTACCCAGGTTGCCAGTAACGGGCACTCATTGAACGCTGATATATTTGTCATACGCTCAGCGCTGTGTTCTCGCTCGAGTTGTATGAAGCCTATTTCTTATCTACGCTATACCGCAGGCACCACAGAATAGTAAATTACTTTGTACTACAAACAACCCTTTGATGCCTTTGATCCGGTCCATTTTAACAAGGAAATGTGTTATTCCTTGTGTTGGTGTGCACACTGTATAGGTACACGTTATTTAAGTATAACACTATAGATAAGTCATGGAAGTGTGTGTGTGTTGTTTATTTTTGCTCAAATATTTCTGCAAACAATATTGCGTACAAAATATATCGCATTACGATAAGATCGATTTTTGAGAAAAACTCCAAACAAGTAATGTCGGTACTCACCACCATGGCGTGGTCGTGTGTGGCGCACGGGTCGTCGGAGTCGACCGCGTGCCGCGCCAGCAGCTCCAGCTCGCTCGAGCCGCCCATCACGTCCAGCACGCCCGACACTGGAACGACCAGAACGACATAGCATGCAGCATCACGCACATCATCACGGCGCGACAACACGTGGCGGGACGGTGCAGCGTGGGACAAAAGCGAGAGTTTGTTTACATCATTATTATTATGTACGTGCGGACCGATCAGTCCTTAATGTTCAATTAGCATAACAAAAATATTACTAGACAATATAGGCATTTAGTAAGTCAAATATTTTAATACAAGGTAATGCAAAGTTAGAGAAAAGTATTTACCGTCCATTTAATGTAAGTAGTTGGCAATTGAGTAAAGGAGGTCAGGAGAACAGACCCGAGCCAGGTTTGGTTGCAGGTTTGCGGGACTAAGTCGGCGCGCTGCAGCGAACAGTGGCGCGCCACGGCGGGCCGGCGCTCATATACCGGCGCGCCGCGCTGTGCTGCTATCGTATCTCTGCCACTGAGCCGTGCAAGCTATCTCTGCTTGATACCGTCGCCATCGCACGCGCCACTGACTGTAAGCCCTCGCCTCGCACCTCGTTCTATCTGCAGAGGACAAACTGGTGTACCCGAGGATGTAGGTAAACACCGACGCTACGTGACGACGATGCAACGACACGAAGTTTTGAATAAGATACGTGCCTATACCTACGCAATATGAAACTAAAATATTAAATTATGTTTTCATGGTTTCTGAAGGCGAATTCTTATAATAAATACGGGTACGCCAAATTAGTATCCCGTATTTGTATCAAGCAAAGATGAATTTAGATTATAGACTTTGGAGTATATTTTGCCCCTAGGCCCACAACCAAAAAAAAATAGTTCGACTTTGAGGAAACAATTTGGGAACATTTTATTATTGCAATAATTATCGCGATAATGGACATTCACGTTCAACGTTAGTGTGGCCCCAGCATTAGTAAGTTTGGACGTGGCGAAGGCCTTCGATCGGGTTTCGCATAGAGCGCTTCTTTAAAAATAGAATAAGTCTTTTATTTCTGAGTGTATGGTATATAGACGTACAAAGTCTTAATTTTAAAATGTTTCACATTCACTTTCGAAGCTTTCCGAGATATTATGCGAATGGGTCTCCTGCTTCCTTGCAGACAGCAGCACCCTAGAAAGATAACCATATTTTGACTTTCACAAAAGATAACCATGCGCTTTGGAGGCGCTCGATATATACAGACCCGCCGCTAGCTATTCGAGCGCCCGAGTGCAAATACCGATAATGCCGCCCCCTTTTTTGTTGGGTGGGAAAAAGTTATCAAATGACCCTTAGAACTCTTACTAACTAAAAACCCCATTCCTTCCAACACTTGCTCGGGCCTCAGTACCCATATCACAACCTACCCTCCAGCAAGGCAACAATCCTGGTGGGCCCCGTCTATGGTAGTCTGATGGTTCTTTAAGGCCCACCTTTTACACTATGCGCCGTACGCTCGGGACTGGTACTAGTCAGGTGGTGAGCTATCCTTGCTGCCGTACACAGACTTGCGCTTACGGTGGCCGGAAATCCCGACAACGCGACGCGATACTACACCCGAAGCGGCACTCCTGCTACCTCTTGAAAATGATAGAGGATACTCGATAATTTTCGAATATGTTCGAGGACGCTCCATCGTCTTCGAGGACGCGATAGTTTTCGAGTAACCCTTGAAAGTGGTCGAGGACGCTTGATGGTTTTCAAGGAAGCTCCATAGTTTTCGAGGGCGCTCGATGGTTTTGGCGGAACCCCCATGTCCAGTAGACGGGACCAGATGCTAGACCACTTCAACGTATCAAAGGCCTTTTCGAAGTCGACAAAAGTAAAATAAATCTCCCTTTGGCATTCTGTTGCCTGCTCGAGAATGATACGAAGAGTGTTAATCTGGTCTGTACATGTACGGTTTGATCGGAAACCTGCCTGCTCCCTGCGTAAAAGAGGATCCACGGCTTTTGACAGCCTATCCAGGAGAATCTTGCAAAAATCTTTTGCGGGAATAGAAAGCAGTGTAATACCATTGTAGTGTGTGTGTATGTACAGGAGTATTAAATGTAACTTCAAACAATAAAGTTGTTTCTCTAATCTCTCCGATGCACCACCTTACATGGCGACCGTGCCAATTAAGGCGGCCGACTCGGGTTCCGTCGCACGTTCGCGTATAAAATACGTACCTAAATAAATTAAAATAATTATATACAGGGTGTCTCACGGCAGAGTTAGGATTTTGAAATGAAATAAAAGTCAATTTGCATATTTTTGTGAAAAGATTTTTATTGAAAAGTATTGAACTATAATGCGCATTTTATTTTTTAAAGATTACATCTTCCAGATGTCTTCCATTTCGTAGCACGCACTCACGGAATCGATTCATCGCATTTTGCATAACGCGCTTAAGCATAGCCGGCTCGATGTCGCGTATTTCTTGTTGGATATTTTGTTTTAACTCAGCGATATTCCTCGGAGTATTGACGTAAACTTTACTCTTAAGGTACCCCCATAGGAAAAAGTCCATGGGGGTCAAATCTGGAGATCGCGGAGGCCACGCAATATCACCAAAGTGGGATATCAATTTTTGAGGAAACAATTCACGAAGTTGGTCCATAGTGGCTCTTGCAGTGTGGCAAGTGGCTCCATCCTGCTGAAACCACGTTCTTGACCTGTAGGCTGGATGTTCTCGAAGTTGGGGTATAAAATAATTGGATATCAGTTGCCAATAAGCCTCACCAGAAACAGTTATCGCAGCACCTGTCGCATTTTCAAAAAAATACTTCCCGATTATTCCATTGACCGAAAGAGCACACCACACTGTCACTTTTGGGCTATGCAGCGGTCTTTGATGTTTTTGTCCGGGATTGACTTCTGACCAAACCCGACAATTTTGTTTGTTAACATATCCATTCAAATGGAAATGTGCTTCATCACTTCAAAACATAGTATTCAAAGTGAAAATCTCTCAATGATTGTCTGGCAAAAACTTTTACGTAAATTGTAGTCATTTTCATTTATTTCCTGCACTATCTTTATTTTATAGGGATGGAATATCAAATCACGTTTTAAAATCCGCTCTACGGTTGATTTGGTGACGTTTAAAGCCGCCGCTCTTTTGCGTATTGACAAGCGTGGATTACGTCGAACGCTAGCTGCAACTTCGTTTATTGTTTCTTCCGTTCTTGAAGTTCTGCTTGGGCCCGGACGCGGTTGATTTATAGCGGAACCGATAGCTTGAAACTTGATAACCCATTTACGAATCAAATTTTCGCTTGGTCCATCGCGTAAACGTCTGATATTGTAGTAAGAACAAAACTGTCTTCGAGCCACGACGTACGATTCTCCACCTTTCAAAAACGCTTCGATAGCGAACGCGCGGTGCTCACCCGACCACTGCGACATCGTGACTAACGAAACCGCACGAATGACGAAGCTACTGCGTTCCTCCCCCCGCGCTTACTTGCAACGGTTTTTAAAATATTCAAATTTAAAATCCTAACTCTGCCATGAGACACCCTGTACAAGTTCAATTACAAAGTGGTCAAACTCGAAATGTGCCGAGCAAAAGTCGAAAAGGAAGAAGTCTTTATAACACAAAATGCTGCCGGAGGGTCTAACTCAGCGAAGATTCAAGAATACCACCTTTCAAACATTAGCATAGTGCTAATTGTAATGTGCACTATGATTGGAATTGCTGGTTTATATGCAGTCTATAGATTGTATAGAAATTGTCACCGTACTTGGATTAGAAACGTTTTTTGACACAAAAATTTTGATGCGGTCTTTTCGGCGACCAGAGGGACGAGTTGTATACGAAGGACACCAGCGCCAAGTGATGCGGAGCTGCGAGCAGCGGCAACAACCATATCGACAGGAGCCAGTGGTGAAAGTGCAAGATCAGTGTTAAAAATATCAGTGTCGAAAAGGTAGTGATAGTGCTATAATGAAGCGTGAAATGTGAAAAAAAGTGTATTAAGTTTTCCTAATCTATTGACTATAACGTACTAAATGCCATTTAATTTTATATAGATTTAATTTTAGCACTTTATGGACTTAGGTATACTTGCATAGACTAGTTTGAGGTCTAGAGATAAATTTAGCGTAATTCAAATATATTGTAATTCGTCTAAGGATTATGTCAATATGTTATAAAAATAGTTTTTATGCCACGGGGCTAAAAACTATTTATGATATGTTGAAGAGTATAAAAACTAATTTAGTTAAATCTAATTATTCTCGAAGGACCAAAGTATATTTGCAACAAAAGTTAAATGAAGCCACGCAATTACGGAGACAATTTGATGACTGTATGCTTATTTTGTCTCAGCAAATAGTGCGGAAACAATTGAAAGGTCCGGTTTTGGTAGAAATACAGGCATATTGTAATTTGATTAGAGAAATGTATATTGAAATTGAAGGCATATGTTCTAAGGAGTACTGCTCCCCTTCTCATAGTATTGTTGAATGTGTCGACCGTGAATCTATCGACATGGCTAGTTTCGATTTTAAGATAGCTACGTCTCTATTGCCGGTTATGACGAGTGAGGACTTAAAAGGGATGAATGAACATGTTATGTCAGTATTAGAAAAACAGGCACAGAAATACGGCTGAACGAAAATGTACAAAACGTGTCTGATAATCCTATGGTTGATAAGGTAGATAAGGTAGGTACCGACAATTGGACTGATCATCCAAGAGTTGTGGATATTCTTAAAAAACCAGAGGATTGTACAGAATTAATATTTGTGGATGAAAGAGAATGGAATAAAATAGACAGTATGTCAATGGAAATGTCAGCAAAATTCGCTTATTCTTCATGTAAGTCCGTTATTTACGTAAACCCTTCTTTCCGATCACATTGCGCACGAGATGCCTTTGTGAGGGAGTTGTGTAACTTATGTAAACGGATAGGAATACATAAAATTTATCTTATTAAAAATGCTAGTAATGAGAAACTAGTAGACGAGTTAACTCGGGTTATAAGAGACACCCCAACATGGTCCGGACCACAATTATATATTTTAAAGAGAGTCAAACGAATAAGCGATCACGATAC